ATTTAATTTAATTTAATTTAATTTAATTTAATTTAATTTAATTTAATACATCATATTTCTATGCCGCCCAACTCTCTAGGGAGTTATCAACACAACCCGGCAGTGACACCCGCCAAAAATGGAACTGGGGTAGAATAGAGTAGAGCGAATCAGCTGGAAGGGACCTTGGAGGTCGTCTAGTCCAACCCCCTGCTCAAGCAGGAGAACCTATATACCATTTCAGATACGTGAGGGTCTAGTCTGGTCTTAAAAACATCCGGTGATGGATCGCCCACGATTTCTGGAAGCGATGCGTGGGATTTCTGTGTTGATGCTGGCTGTGGAATTCTGGGGATTGAAGTCCGCACATCTGGGTGGGTGTAATGTAGGTAAATGCGAGTCCAGCTGGATGATCACTGAAGGGCCCTCTTTATTCATAGTATTGTAAGAAAGGAAATGTGCTTGTTTGAGGGAAGCCAATTATCTCCAGTTGAAAGGAGAGGATTCCTTTGAAGTAGGAACATTCAGAAGAGGGGCCCCTCAGTTGTCAGAGATACAAACGTTTGATGATATACAGTTTGAAGGTTAAAGAGATCAAGTATGACCACATGTAATATTAACAAGAGATAATTTGAATCTATGCTTCAGTAATTTACATGAAGAATTATGACTTGGCAAAGAATAATATGAAACAGTAATTAGGAAATGTCAATTAAAAATGACAAATGTATATGATCATATGAATTGCTGAGTTAACAGAATCCTTTGTTTTAGAAGGGTATAAAAACCATTGTACCTAATTTCTGTCTTTGTTCAACGCTTCATGTACAGAGCTTTGAACCTATTGTGCAATATACATTGTCTCTGATTAACCCAGAAAAGTTGTGTTGGTCTTATTAAATCCACAACAGGTGGGAGTGGAAGGGAAGCCGAGTTCCCACAACCCACTAAATAAACCCTTGGCTTTATTTTCACCCATTAGGCTACTTGGATAAATTGGATTAGAACTAGTTTGGTGGCTAAAGGGCTGGCCTAGAAACCAGGTGGCAGTGAGTTCTAGGCCTTTCCCTTTGAAGGAACAGGGCGGGAGGAAAAATATACATGGTTGCTTAGGAGTAAGAGACAACTATATACATGGTTGCTTAGGAGTAAGACGCAATGTGGTGACACATGATCTGTCAATAGGCATAAAAGGTGGCTTGGGCGCTTTGGGGCCAGTCCTTCGTCCGCTCAACCCGTCCCTCCTCACAGGGTTATTGTTGGGAAAATATATAGAAATAGCAATAAGACTTATATACCGCTTCACAGTGCTTTTACAGCCCTCTCTAAGCAGTTTACAGAGTCAGCCTATCGCCCCCAACAATCTGGATCCTCATTTTACCCACCTCGGAAGGATGGAAGGCTGAGTCAACCTTGAGTTGATCAGGATCGAACTCCTGGCTGTGGGCAGAGTTAGCCTGCAATACTGCACTCTAACCACTGTGGCACCACAGCTCTTAATAGCAATAGCTATTTAGATTTAGATTTATATACCGTTTCACAATGTTTTTATAGCTGTCTCGTAAGTGGTTTACAGAGTCAGCCTATTGCCCCCAACAATCTGGGTCCTCATTTTACCGATCTTGGAAGGATGGAAGGATGAATCAACCTTGAGCCTGGTGAGACTCGAACTGCCAAATTGCAGGCAGCCAGCAGCCAGCAGAAATAGCCTGCAGTACTGCACCCTAACCACTGCGCCATTGTGGCTCTATATCCATATTATCTATCTATCGCTAAACTGTGAGTTACTAGATAAAATTGCTAAAGTCATCCAAAAGGTTGAGCCAAAAACAGACAAGCCATAATAATAAAGAAACTCAGTTTGAGATTTTTTATTTTTGCATTTGTTAAGTAGGTGTCTAGTTACTGTTAATGTTACTGTTGCCTGGACCTTGTCTCAATACTAAAACTGTTAAAAAGACTTGTCATATTTGTAACCATATAGGCTTCTGTTTGTGAACAATCCTGGGTAAACTTATTCAAAACCAATCCCTCTGGGCAATCCCTCTGGGCAAAATTCACCCTCGGTTGAATTTTTCAATCCTTGCAGACCGACAGCAAAATTCAGCCATTTTTGAATTAGGCAATTCATGATCTCTCAATTAGTTGTTTAATCTGGAAAACGCAAAGCATCATTTCTGATTTGCCAATTTGGGATAGAAGAAATAACCCCTCTCCATACTGGAAAATTGTGGACCGATAAAATATGGATAAATGTTTGCAAATTGTGATGTTGTTTAAAACAGGTATAACTTCATTGCGAGTTGGTAAATATTAACAGCAAAGTAGCTCTTTTTCAATGACAATCCTGAAAATAAAGGATTTTTCTGGAAAAGTTGGGGAACCCTATCCTAAGTTACCTAGAACCTTACCTGTCTATTCCCAAGAGTAGGCAAGCAGTCTAGAGAGTATTTGCCTGTATTATAGGCAAAATACAATAAAATAGTTTGACCTCTACATATCGTGTTTCCCCGAAAATAAGACCCTGTCTTATATTTTTTTGAACCTTGAAATAAGCGTTTCGCCTTATTGCCATGTGCTCAAAAGCCCAATTGGGCTTATTATCAGGGGATGTCTTATTTTGGGGGGAACAGGGTAGGTGGATCCAGTTGTTTGCACCTGACATTACTGCAATATATGAACCTGGCCTTTTAACGTTATCAATAAAATGCAAATAATACTGCACATGTGCCTCTACTGATTGCATGACTAATAGAAAGCATAATCTGGGTGACTGAGGAAGGATAGTGGCCCCTGAGGGCCAAAATTCCTCAGAGGTTTTCTTTTCCAGTTATCCTGTTAAGATTCTCTGCTGAGAAGGCAGTTGCCATGGACACCAATGCTGATTTAGCATCTGTCCTACCCAGTAGCAGTCTAGCCTATATCCTCTCTGTCTGTCTGAGAGTGAACATGGTGGCATAGTGGCTGTCCAGATAATGTATAATCCTGGTTAATTTAACCTTGGTTACTGGAACTGGGTTTCTATGTATGCTACAATCGCAGGGTGCAGTGTGGTTGATTGTCATGTTGTTCAGTCTGTCACATGGCTCCGACAATATTATTGATATTTCTTTTATAGATTTGTGAAGTATCATTTGGTAAAACTGGATCTCTCTGCTTTGATTATCTCCCGGGAGTTTATGTTCAGAAGTTTAGAGGCTGGACTGGCATTTCACATTATGCTAAACCAGGGGTGTTAAATTCAACCCCTGGGGGGCTGGATCCGGCCCGTGGGGTGCTTAGATCTGGACAATGGGGCTGCCCTGGAAACAATGAAGGGCCGGCCCACGATGCCTCTGCCAGCGAAAAAGGAGCTCGGGAGGACCACGTGTGGCCCTTCCAAGCTCCATTTTCGCTGGCAGAGGGTTGCAGGAGGCCATGGCAGCCAAAAATGGAGCTTGGGAGCCCATTTTCACTGGCAGAGTGCTTGGGCCACCACAGACACTGCCCCGACATGAGTGACATCATGTTGGCCATGCTCACCCTGGGTCCTCCGAGGTTAAACACAACCCTGATGCGACCCCCCCCAATGAAATCGAGTTTGACACCCCTGTGCTAAATTGTGGTTTTGTGGAATCAGTACAGAGGCCTGATCCACACCATCTCCTAAACCAGGGATCAACAACTCGTGGCTCTGGAGCCGCATGTGGCTCTTTTATCCCTCTGCTACAGTTCCATTTCACTGGTCGGCACCAAAATTTTGAGAGGAGCTTCCGTTTTTTGGGGGGGGGGAAGCATGGCATGCCAGGAGGAGACTCTATGGCAAAGGGCGGGTTTTCTGGTCAGCTCCACAATTGATAGGGCTTTCGGTTAGGACTGGTAGCGGAAAAAGGACGCCGTACTAGGAGGAGACTCTATGGTGGGGGAACCAGACTTCCGGTTGGTTGTAGAATTGACTGGGGGGCTTCCGATTAGGACCTCTGTGGCTCTTTGAGGATTTAAGGTTGCCGACCTAAATGTAACTCATGGGCTAAATTCATGCGACGAGCAAAACAACCAATGTGCAAACTTTACGGTTTAGTGTGCTAGACAAGCAAGCGATCAGCTAGCATTCCAAAACCAAGCTTGAAGCTGTTTTAAAGAACACACCTTAAGATTGCCAAGAAATCTTCTGATGCAACTCAATTTTGTTTGCAGGAACGCTAAAAAAGAAAATGAATTGAGCTCAGCCATCGCTCGAGCGAAGGATCTGGATGCTCGGCTAAACTCCAGGGAGGCTGAACTGGCGACCGCATTACACGCGCAGCAGAGTTTGGAGAAAGAACTTCAAGAATCCAAGGATCAAACAACTTCTGTAAGGGCTTGTTGAGAGAAATCTCAACCGTCTTATTAAAATTGTGGGGGCTGGTCTTTATTAGCTATACTGCATATTTATTTTGCTTTTGGGTTTATTTTGCTGTGTTGAATGGGGGGATTCTGGATCTCTGAATGGGGGAAATCTGGATTCTCACAGTACAGGTAAGTCCTTGACTTAACAACCACAACTGAGCCCAAAATTTCCATCACTAAGGCGAGACAGTTGTTAAGTGAGTTTTGCCCCATTTTACAACCTTTCTTGCCACGGTTGTTAAGTGAGTCACTGCAGTTGTTAAGTTAGCAACATGGTGATTAAGCAAATCTGGCTTCCCCGTTGACTTTTGCTGTCAAGAAGATCGCCCAACAGGATCACATGACCCCGGGACATTGCAACCATCATAAATATGAGTCAGTTGCCAAGCAGCTGAATTTTGATCAGGTGACTGTGAGGATGCTACAATGGTCGTAAGTGTGAAAAATGGTCGTGAGACTTTTTTCAGGGCCGTTGTATCTTTGAACGGTCACCAAACAAACTGTTAGTCAAGGACTACCTGTATCTGGGTTTGATTTCCTTGTGAATGAGGTCGACGGAGGCACACAGTTTTCTATAATTGGGGAGGAGTATTCACAATCAAAAAGGGATGCAGTGGCTCAGTGGCTAAGACGCTAAGCTTGTCAATCAAAAGGTCGGCACTTCAGCGGTTCGAATCCCTGGTGCCACATAATGGGTGAGCTCCCGTTACTTGTCCCGTCTTCTGCCAACCTAGCAGTCCGAAAGCACATAAAAAATGTAAGTAGAAAAATAGAGACCACCTTTGGTGGGAAGGGAACAGCGTTCCGTGCGCCTTTGGCGTTTAGTCATGCCAGCCACATGACCACGGAAACGTCTTTGGAGAGCGCTGGCTCTTCAGCTTTGAAACGGAGATGAGCACCGCCCCCTAGAGTCGGGAACGACTAGCCCATATGTGCGAGGGTAACCTTTACCTTGCTCACAATCGTATCATTTGACCTTGAATGGACTTTCAACTTAAAAAGACACCCAGCCATCAGTCAAATCTCCTCCCATCCACAGAGCTCCACAATCATGCCACTCTTGGATGGCACTAAAAGTTTCAAAAAAACAAAATGACCTCATCCAAAAAATGAATCTTCCTAAGCACTCAGCTTGAAACGCCGTAGACCAAGCGTACTCATATATCTTGGAGAAGAGATGTCAGCTATCTAATCCATGCTGGTTTAGGAATCTCTGCTGATGCCAACAACTTCATTAAGTTGCTTGTACTCCATGGCTTATTACCTGGCAGTTCTAGTTGGGTTAGTGAAATGATGTCCTGATACACAAAGTTGGCTTAGAACCACACAGTATGCCAAGCCAAAATAAACTACATTACATATTTTAGGGTGTGAACCTAATCGGTCTTACATGCTGAAAAACATGGCAACGCGTGTTTGCTTTATCTACAATTAGTAAGACTAACAAAAGCTCCCATGCTGTTTTACAGCCTAAAATGATCTGTTGGAATAAGGCTGACTTGAAACAGTTTGCCTTTAGGCTACACAGAGGAGGTGAATCTTGAAAGACAGGTGGATTAACTTCAGACAAAGTCTTAGCTGAAAATCCTAACTCCAAAAATCCTAACCTTTGGATAACTTAAAAAGGGTGCAAATGCTTCCTTGAGCATAGCGAATGTTTTTTTTTTTGTTTTGTTTTTTAATCCTTTCCTAGCTTAAAGAGCTGCTGAAAAGTTCTAGAAATGAACTTCAGAATGAGAAGCTGAAAAGAGCAGAATTGGAAAATCAAGTGAAATCTTTCCGAGAACAAGTGGCGTTTCTGAAGAGCTTCCATGAAAATGTATGTATTGTCAGCCCAAAATGCCGATTTGATCCATTCCATTAGAGCAGGGGTCTGCAACCTTAAACACTCAAAGAGCCATTTGGACCCGTTTCCCACAGAAGAGAAAACACCGGGAGCCACAAAACCCTTCCCGTGCCTGACTGTTTTTTGAGCAGCCACAAAACTGGCATATGTAGTTGAATTAAACATTCTGCTTTCTTCTGAAACTTTTCTTTTCTTGGATTTCTCCATGGCTGGCCTACCGGGGGTTGAAAAGCTCAATAAATCGCGTGCCAGTGGGTGTCGCACATTGGTGGTTGTGACGCATATTTTGAGTGATAGGGAGCCGCAGCAGAGGGGTTGAAAGAGCCACATGTGGCTCCAGAGCCACAGGTTGCTGACTCCTGCGTTAGAGCAAGGGGTGTCAAATTCGATTTGTGGGCCGCATCAGGGTTGTGTTTGACTTTGGGGGGAGGCAGAGGGCATGGCTAGCTCACCATCACTCGTATCGGGGGCGCCTGTGGTGGTCTGAGCGCTCTGCCAGCGGAAAAGGGCTCCCCAGCTCCGTTTTTGGCTGCCATGGCTTCCTGCAACCCTCTGGCAGGCACATGCACCCCTCCCAAGCTCCGTTTTCTCTGGCAGAGGCACTGCGGGCCAGTCCTTTGCTGTTTCCAGGGCGGCCCTGCAGGCCAGATCTAAGTACCCCGCAGGCCAGATTTGGCCCCCGGGTGTTGTGACCCCGACTCCCGAGCCTGTCCTAACAGAGGAAGAAGACTCAGAAGGTGATGGGGAGGAACTGATAAGGCCTCCCTCTCCAGGACCCTCCTCTCTGGCAATGCCTCAGGTTCCATCCGAAGGCCAAGAGGAACAGCCTGGGATATGCCAGGAGGAAAGCATATCGGAACAACAGAATAGGGAGCGAGGATGATGAATCCTGGCTTGATCCCAGGCAGCGTTGGAGGGAGAAGCGTGCGCAGCAACAAAAGAGGCGTGGGAGGGCCAGAGATTGAGCTGAGTCACTGAGCCACACCCCACAAGGAATAAAAGTGCGTGTGATTGCTCTTCAGGCTTTGTGACGGTCAAAGTTAAAAACCTGAGAGTCACATCACGTTACCTGAAATCTGGCTTGTGCATATTTGGATTGGACCTTGACTAACTCTTGCTTCATGGATTATTTTTTGCTACTGAACTGGACTGAGGATAAACTCTCTCTTGCTTACTGTGACTTGGAAAACTGACTTGGCAGGCATTTCGCAGTTTACTGCCAAAACTCTTACCTGCAAGGGTTTCTAGTCTGATTGCTTAATAAAATCTTGGCAGGCGTGCCTGGTTGTGTGTTTGCCTGTGTGGGGAAGGGGGACAGAACAACAGGCCTTGAGTCTGACACCCCTGTTGTAAGCCATCGATGTAGGCAGCAGTCCATAGCTTATGAAATGAGTTAAACTGTCATTCCCCCAAATTTGCAGTCTAAAATCTGACCATCAAAGAGATGTGAGAAGCAAGAGTAATAAGAGAAGATTCCAATTAGAAGAGAATTTGAACTAACCATGCACTGATGATGTTACCTAGTCAGGTAATGAAATGTCTGCAGGAAAACAACCAAGCTCAGACAGCACCAAGGATCCCACCGTTCCAATTAAGCAACCCAGACCAAGTGGTATCACTTCAATTTTACAAAAGACGAGGAGAATGTCTTTATGGATTTGCATTAGGAATATCCAAACTTAGCCCACAAGTTACTTGGGGATGGGGTGGGGTGGGGGGAATCCAGATTTGTCAGATGAATTAAAGCCTTTGTTTAGGGATTAAGTTAACAACATTCTTCCTTTGCAACTCTCTTTCTTTCTCCTCTCAGGAACTCAAGAACAAGAAGCAACTTTACGAGAATAGGATTCAAGGGATTGTATCTGGCCGTCAACAGGAATATGACGCTAAACTAATGAATTCTCTCCAGGAGCTCAGAAAAGAGCATGAACAACAAATCAAGGAATACAAAGATCATTTGGAACAAAATTTCCAAGCCAAAGTGAGTTAAATGGGAAGAATCTTAAGGGGAAATGTTGTGTTGTCTACTCAAAGCCATGTATTTCCATGGACCAGTTTTTCTTTTGAGGACTAGCTGATAACCCGGCGTTGCCCGGTATCTATTTATCCCAATCCCCCTTAACAGAGGGAGCACCCTTGTGGAGTACTGTGAAGCTGTTACCATGGCAACTCCATTGTGCTGTACAGTAGAAGCCATTTTAAGGCACAACAGGCTGTATCTTAACAGAATTTGAATCCTAAATTCACACTATCCCTGTCAAAAGTACTGTGATTTGACACTATAGATATAATTCATTCATTTTCATTTCAGCGGCCCAGGCATTCCAGAGTTATGCTGAAACACACACACACACACACACACACACACACACACACACACACCAAGGGGTGTTAGGGGTGTCTTACCCCCCACAATATTTCTTTCCAGAGAGTAAGTCATTTGTGTACCAAGTTTGGTTGAAATTGCTCAAGGCGTTCCAGAGTTATGCTGGAACACACACATAGAGTCATTTATATATATAGATTAAAATAAACAATTCTAAAACCAATGATGAGGAATTTATAACTCTACAACTCAAAGCAACCCTAATCAACACAATCCAGTGGTAAAAAATGCTGGAACATCAGCAATTTCTGAAAGGCCATAAGTCTTCATTATTAAAGAAGCCAGAAGCTGGTTAGTTGGTTGAGTCTAGAAATTAAATCCATAGTTGAGCCATGGAACATTGAAAGGAATGATTTGGGAATGGTTGGGAAGATGACGTATGGGGGAAACGGAGGTCTACAATTTATGAAGGAGGGCATTTTGTAAGATTGAGATGAATCTCAAGCCACTGAATAGAGACAATAAGGAACACCAAGTTAAAATATTTGGGGGAGTCTAGAAAATAGATTCCTGAATTTAAAACATCCCTTGGGATAATTTTTGGATGCAATTTGGATGAAAATATGAAAAGAAACAATACATTTACTTTCAAATATATGGAACTTTATAATAGCAAACACACATTCTGAAAGTCAGAAATAGTTTTATAGTTTCCTGTTTGTAGATAGGAATATGCTACAGCGAACATTATTAACCCAAACTATTTTTGCAGGTAGAAAATGCACTCCTTTATGCTGAAAAGAAGCATGATCTTGCTACTTCTGTTCAAGAGGAACTGAAAAAAACGAAACTGAAGGTTGATAATCTCATATCACAGGTAAACCGAAAAACCAGGCAAAACTAGACATACGCAATGGTGAGTAGATGCCTCTTGGGTTTTCTATTAGGAAGAATATTTTATTAGTTCATCAAAATCTAAAATACAGAAGTGCAAATAAAAATAAAAATAAGGGGGAAATAAGTGGGAAAAGGAGGGACGCGGTGGCTCAGTGGCTAAGATGCTGAGCTTGTTGATCGAAAGGTTGGCAGTTCAGCGGTTCGAATCCCTAGTACCACATAATGGGGTGAGCTCCTGTTACTTGTCCCAGCTTCTGCCAACCTAGCAGTTCGAAAGCACTTAAAAAATGCAAGTAGAAGAAAAGGGACCACCTTTGGTGGGAAGGCAACAGTGTTCTGTGCGCCTTTGGCGTTTAGTCATGCTGGCCACATGACCACAGAGACATCTTTGGACAGCGCTGGCTCTTCGGCTTTGAAACGGAGATGAGCACCGCCCCCTAGAGTTGGGAACGACTAGCACATATGTGCAAGGGGAACCTTTACCTTTACATTTAAGGGAGAAAAGGGGGAAGAGAAAAAAGTATAGGGTAAGAGGGGAGAGAAAAAGAAAAGTATTAACTTCCGACTCCTTTTGATGCAAATAGAATAAGGTAGTAATATAACACCTTAATTTTTTACTTTTATGTAGTAAAAATAGAAATAGAAATACAGTAGCACTTAGACTTATATAGTGCCACCACGGCCCTTCCTTCCTTCCTTCCTTCCTTCCTTCCTTCCTTCCTTCCTTCCTTCCTTCTTTCCCACTTTAGCAATAGCAAGTAGACTTATATACCGCTTTACAGTGCTTTACAGCCCTCTCTAAGTGGTTCACAGAGTCAGCCCCCAACAATCTGGGTCCTCATTTTACCGACCTCAGAGGGATGGAAGGCTGAGTCAACCTTGAGCCGGTCAGAATCGAACTCTTAGCAGCGGGCAGAATTAGCCTGCAATACTGCATTCTAACCACTGTGCCACCTTGGCTAGCATAAGAATACCTACTAGCCATTTCTATAACAACAAACGTTCCTAATGAGCAAAACCCAAACGAAAAGTTTCAACGCTCAGTTTTGGGCCTCTTCAGTCTTCTCAAAAGAGGTGTCTTCTCTTAGAACCAGTCTGTTCTTAGCTCTGTCGCTCAAGCCTGAAGTGTCTAACCTTAAAAAAACACATTTCTGTAAAATCCAAGAACATCGGATTGCAAGCCAGGATCAAAGAGCTGGAGACTAAGTTAAAGGAACTGCAGAGAGCGATCGATACCGAGCGTGACTCCTCCAAAAGACGCCTAGCGGAAAAAAACAGAGAGATGGCAGAGATGCAGCAACAGATGCAGTCCCAGCTGGATGAATACGAGCATCTGTTGGATGTGAAGTTGGCCCTGGATCTTGAGATCAATGCCTACAAGATGTTGCTGGAAGGAGAAGAAAAACGGTAAGCTTAAAAATCGCCTCTCAGTAAGTATACACTGTTGACTTACAACAGTTCATTTAGCAATAGCCCTTAGATTTATATACCGCTTCACAGTGCTTTTACAACCCTCTAAGCGGTTTAGAGTCAGCTATTGCCCCCAACAATCTGGGTCCTCATTTTACCCACCTCAGAAGGATGGAAGGCTGAGTCAACCTTGAGCCTGATGAGATTCAATCTGCCAAATTGCAGGCAGCCGGCAGGCAGCAGAAGCGGCCTGCAGTACTGTGTTCTAACCACTGGGCCACCACGTCTCTTGAAATCTAAACCTGGATCTCCAATCCCAATACAACACTTTAACCCCCATCTACATGGTCTCCCACACTTCCTGACCAACATGCTTCCTAATTATTAAATTAACCCTTAATCCAGTTTGCAGGATGCATTAAACCCAATAGACTAAATTCACACAAGATGCAAAACCAGAATAGCAATAGCACTTAGACTTATATACTGCTTCGCAGTGCCTTTTACAGCCCTCTCTAAGCAGTTTACAGAGTGGGCAATCTGGGTTCTCATTTTACCGACCTCAGAAGGATGGAAGGCTGAGTCAACCTTGAGCCTGGTGAGATTCGATCTGCTAAATTGCTGGCAGCCAGCAGTCAGCAGAAGTAGCCTGCAGTACTGCATTTTAACCACTGGGCCACCGTGGTTCTCAAAGTGACTTTCAAAGTCACTACGCACTAGGAAAAGTCACTTATTACCGTTTTTCACCCTTACAACCATTGTGGCATCTCCATGGTCATGTGACCAAAATTCAGAAGCTTGCCAACTGACTATTTTATGACGGTCGCAGTGCCCCGCGGTCCTGTGATCCCCTTTTGCTACCTTCCAACAAGCAAAGTCAAAGAGGAAGCCAGATCCACTTAACAACTGTATTACTAATTTAACAACTGCTGTGATTCACTTAACAAATGTGGCAAGAAAGGTGGTAATATGAGAGAAAGCTCACTTGACACATGTCTCACTTAGCAGGCTAAATTCTAGGCTCAACTGCGGTTGTAACTCGAGGACTAGCTGTATCTTCTTAATCTAGCTTTGTGGCTTTTTAAGAGTGACATTTTTTGTGTGTTTCTTCGGTAGTTTGAAACTCTCCAAATTCTCCTTGGAAAGTGGGGAAGCGGAGAAGAGAAGCGATGGGAGTTGGACCACCGTAAGTCATGGCCACCGCCTCTTCTTGCAAGGAAAGAAACGGAAACGCGCCTCGGCCAAGAAACAGGCTCACAGCCTGAGCTTCAAAGTGGTCCAGCGAGCATCTTCTTCAGGGAGCATCTCCATTGAAGACATTGACATGGAAGGAATGTTCATCAAAATTAAAAACAATTCTGATAAGGTAAAACCATCCATCTCTGGGTTTTTCCAACACCTGGATATCTGTTTCCATCTGGAAAAAAGTTATTTTTGGGAACACAGGTAGCCCCCAACTTACAACCGTTCGTTTAGTGACTGTTCAAAATTACTGTTCTGACCCAACTCCCCAAACACGACAAACTGACGTGAACTCAAAAGATTCCTTTATTAAGAATGCCGGCAGCCCCGGCAACAAGTTTCTCTCGCAGGCTAACAAGTCTGTCCGCCCGGGACATGAATAGTTGTGTGCCACACCTATTCATCTCCGCCCCCTGCCTTTTATCCCCAGAGCTAGGGTGGGGCCTCATTAGCAGTGGTGGCTCCTCCTTCCCCAGGATCGGCCCATAGATTTCCACTGCTCTCCTCTCCTCTGCCTTCTGTGCATCAGGCACTGGACCCAGCTGTTCCTCCTCTTCCTCATCAGCCACCTCCAGACCTGGGGGCTGTTGACTCTCCATCTGAGGGATGACGGATGACTCAGGCTCCACCCCTGTCTCTCTCTCTGACAGCTCCATTCCCTCTTCCCTCTCGGAGCTCCCAGGTTGCCCTGATGCTTACCCTGAATCCCACGCGCCTCTTCCTCCTCTGATTCAGCTGCTGGAGAGGTTGGCAGCCAACAGGCCACAACAATTACAACGGCACTGTAAAAAGGGATTTAAAACCAGTCCTTGCACTTAGAACCATTGCAAAATTTCCATGGTCATGTGATGAAAATTTGTTCGCTGGGCAACCGGCATGTAGTTAGGATGGTTGCAGCATCCGAGGGTCACATGATCATCATGTGCGACCTCCCCAGCTGGCTTCCGGCAAGCAAAGTCAATGGGACAAGCCAGATTCGCTTAACAATCACGGGAGTCACTTAACAACTGCAGCGGTGGCAGAAGAGTCTGTAAAATCGGGCATAACTCGCTGACTTGCTCAGCAGTGGAAATTCCGCTCTTAGTTCTGGTCATAAGTCGAGGGCTACCTAAAGATTCTTTGTTTGGAAAGAAAAGAACGGCTTGACTTGTGTCCTTCATAAATTCGATGGTTTTCAAATTTGGGATGGGATCGTAGTCCCGGCATTCTTAGCAATAGCACTTAGACTTATATACCGCTTTACAGTCCTTTACAGCCCTCTCTAAGTGGTTTACAGAGTCAGCATATGGCCTCCAACAATCTGGGTCCTCATTTTACTAACCTCGGAAGGATGGAAAGTTGAGTCAACCTTGAGGATCGAACTCCAGGTTGTGGGCAGAATTTGTCTGCAATGCTGCACTTAAACCACTGGGATACCCTTTAGACAGGAAGTGATTAAAAATACAAAGGGGGAGATATGCTGTTTCTCCCAGACCAATTGCCCCCGTTCTATCGGCATAGAAATGCGATAAATTAAATTAAATTAAATTCTAATCTGGTTTTCTTGGAATGAAGAGTCATTGCAAAGAGGATACGTGAGGGCAGAAACGAAGTCGGTGTGATAATAAAACTTCGCTTCTGGGAATACAAGTAGTTCCTAATTTACAACCATTCCTTTAATGGCTGTTCAGAATCAAGAGTGGAGAAACTTAACTTGGATTAGGAGTAGAGAAACTCCACTCCAGGACCATCTCTGGAACGAGCTCCCCCCGGAGATACGGAGGATCCCAGATCTACGCACCTTCTGCCACGCTTTTAAGACCTTTTGATTTCACCAGGCTGGTCTGGCCTAATCTTTCCCATTCTTTTTTAATGTAAATTTGAATGCAAATTTTAATTTGTTCTTAACCTGGGGTTTTAAATTCGTCTTGGGCTAAATTGATTTAATTCGATTTTATTTCTGCTCTTAATTTTTGTATTTTACGTGTTTTATTCTGTGCCTGTTCACCGCCCTGAGTCCTTCGGGAGTAGGGCGGTATACAAATTAAATAAAATGAAAAATGAAATCTTCAGTTGCAGAAGCTCACTTGGGAATATTAGACCTGCTACTATCTCATAATTCAGTTTGCCAATCGGCCCGTTACTGGGGAAATATGGAGGAGAATACGGCCTTAAGCTTCCGAAGGAAAAGCAAAATAGAAATATAAAATGTTGAGACCGCTATCAATAAATGAGCTTGCATATTCATCCAAGAATGTTCACCTACATCAGTGTTTCTCAACCTTGGTAGCTTGAAGATGGGTGGACTTCAACTCCCAGAATCCCACCAGCCAGCGCTGCTGGCTGGGGGATTCTGGGAGTTGAAGTCCACCCATCTTCAAGCTACCAAGGTTGAGAAACACTGACCTACATGCTAGAATTCTTTGGCAAAAGAAGTTAAAACGTTTTTCACCAGGGCTTTAGATCAATCTGTTTCTTAAAGGCAACTTTGGTTTGCAGGACCAACTACTAGGTGGATGGATGGTTAGGAAGCAGCACAGAAACGAATCTGACACTATGTATGAGTTTCCTGCTCAATTCATTCTTCAGGCTGGTCACGTAGTAACTGTGAGTGTTGATTTTAAGAGTCCTCTTACATTCTTGTAGGGGGAAAAACTTAAAAATGGTTTTATTTTGCTTCTCATTGTTAAGCCTGCTTGAATAACTATGCACATTCACTTTCACATCAGTCATAAGCCATTTAAAATCGGATTGATTGATTGATTGATTGATTGATTGATTGATTGATTATTTATTTATTTATTTATTTACTTACTTACTTACTTACTTACTTACTTACTTACTTACTTACTTATTTATTTATTTGGTTCGATTTATATGCCGCCCTTCTCCGGAGACTCAGGGCGGCTTACAATGCGTTAAGCAATAGCCTTCATCCTTTTGTATATACCTGCTTAGTAGGGCTTTCGGGGCCCCCTAAGCGGTGTTCTTTTTTATACAAAGTCAGCTTATTGCCCCCATGATCCGGGTTCTCATTTTACCTACCTCGAAAGGATGGAAGGCTGAGTCAACCTTGAGCCTGGTGAGATTCGAACTTGCAGTAATTGCAGGCAGCTGGTATTACTTAACAGCACTTAATCTGCTGCACCACCAAGGCTCTAATTTTTAGAGGTTTAACTTTTTACCATTATTTCTTTACAGATCTGGGGGAAAAATGTGGGTTTAAACCCAAGTCCTAGCACTCTGATTTGGGAATCCCAAAAGTCACGCAGACTTGGAGAGAACATCGGTATTGTTCTCCTCGACGGTGATGGGAATGTAAGTACCAAATTGACTTTACCTAATTATTACTCACAGGGGACGCGGTGGCTCAGTGGCTAAAATGCTGAGCTTGTTGATGGAAAGGTTGGCAGTTCAGCGGTTCGAATCCCCAGTGCCGCATAACGGGGTGAGTTCCCATTACTTGTTCCAGCTTCTGCCAACCTAGCAGTTCGAAAGCACGTAAAAAATGCAAGTAGAAAAATAGGGACCACCTTTGGTGGGAAAGGAACAGTGTTCCATGCGCCTTTGGCGTTGAGTCATGCCGGCCACATGACCACGGAGACGTCTTTGGACAGCGCTGGCTCTTTGGCTTTGAAACGGAGATGAGCACTGCCCCGTAGAGTCAGGAACGACTAGCATATACGTGCAAGGGCAGTGGTGGGTTTCAAAAATTTTTACTACTGGTTCTGTGGGTGTGGCTTGGTGGGCATGGCATGGCTTGGTGGGCGTGGCTTGGTGGGTGTGGCAGGAGAAGGATACTGTAAAATCTCCATTCCCTCCCCACTCCAGGAGAAAGTTACTTCAAAATCCCCATTTCCTCCCAATCAGCTGGCACTCAGGAGGCAGAGAATAGATGGGGACGGGGCCAGTCAGAATTTTTACTACTGGTTCTCCGAAACTACTCAAAATTTCTGCTACCGGTTCTCCAGAACTGGTCAGAACCTGCTGAAACCCACCTGTGTGCGAGGGGAACCTTTACCTTTACCTTAATTATTACTCAGAAAGCCAGTTTAGTTTGATGGTTTAAGGCACCAGCCTAGAAACCAGCAGACTTATGAGTTCTGGTTTCAAACTTAGACATTTGGGTCAGTCATTTACTCTCAGCGTAAGAACAAGAACAGAGAAAACTCTTATGGGTTTATTCAGGCAGTTGCCGGGGTGTGAAGACTAACTTGAAGGCACAAATATATATATATATATTTTAAAAAGTTAATCAACATCTCTGTCACATATCTTTTACTTTCAGGAGACTGCAGAAGGAATGGTCATGTATCTGGAAAGAGGAGAAGGTGATGGAGAAGTGGAAGATTCTGCAGAAGAAACAAAACTAGGGATTCATAGCCAGGTTAAGTTTAACTGAACGTCTGAATGTTGAGAATGAGAACGAGATCCTTGGATTCTTATTTGGTTGATGGGGATGCATTTTCTTCAAACGCCAATTGGGGTGGAGAGGTTTTCGAAAGTGCATCAATATGCACATTAGTCACCCCAATGGGTCTAGACCAGTGATGGTGAACCTTTTCGGCACTGAGTGCCCAAACCGGAATGTGAATGAATGTGCGTGTGCCAGAGCACTGGAAACCTGAAGATCAGCTAGCCAGTGCGTGCATGCCTGTTTTTTGGCCATTATTCGGGCCTGAAAACTGCCTGGAATACCACCCATAAAAGGCCTGAAAATGGCTCAGAAAACAGCCCCCAAAAGACCCAGAAACGGCCTGGGTTTTGGCTGTTTTTAGGCCTTCTTCTGATGCTCTGGCGCCTGCTGGCTGTTTTTTTTTTTTTTTGGCCTATTTTTTGGGCCAAAAACGGCCTGAAAACGGCTTGAAAAATGCCCTGAAAATCCCCAAAAACGGCCTGAAAAAAGCCTGAAAAAGGCCAGAAATCAGAAGAGTAGCTGGCGATGGTGTGCGTGCGCACAGAGAGGGCTCTGTGTGCCATCTCTGGCATGCGTGCCATAGATTCGCCATCACTGTTCTAGACTGTCCCAACTTGTGCTAACGGAAGAGGCCTGCTACAGAATTCCAGCAGGCAGGGTGTCAAGGAGAAGAGCCTTTTCTGTGGTGGCCCCAACCCTGTGGAACACTCTACCACCACAGGTGGTGAGGACTGCACCCTCCCTTTTGGCCTTCTGAAGGGCCTTAAAAGACTGACTCATTTTTTTCCGGTTGGCTTGGGGCTTCCAGCTCATTGCCGGAGGTGGTTGACAGAGTAAGAAGATCTCATCCTGAGGTGGTTTCACATAAAGTTTACCACCGGTTCGCTGCGCACCGAAAATGTGAGCGTGCGCCTTCCGTGCGGCCTTCCACACGTGCGCTTTGCTCACGCACGCGGCTTGCGTCCATGCACGCGGCTTAGAAAACGTTATCTAAATAGGACAGCATAGAGCCAGGTCGCCACAACCGGCTCGCCCGAACCGGCTGGATACCACCACCGATCTCTTTCCCATGTCATCCATCTCCTTGATTTTAGATGGTTTTTTTTTTTTGCATAGTTTTAAAAGTTTAACATTCCTATTTATCTTTTTTATGGTTTGTAAGCCACCCAGAGTCACCTTATCAGAGCGGCCTACCAATTTTATAAATGAATAATGGAGTAATGTCCTCCTCATCTCTTTGACATACTCAGGATTAAAAAAAGAAATGATAGCAACTCGGGGGGTTCTTAGGAATCTTGCAAACTTACCAAAGGAGATGAGAACTATTCCCACCCACCCACCTCCCAATATTGCTCAGCCGGGCTGTAAACTTGGCTTATGAGCACTACTTGTGTACTGAAATAATTGTGCAGATTCATACGACCCTCCAAGCCAGAAATCATCAGGTCTAAGCTGTCTGTTTCTTCCCGCAGCAGAACGAGACCAGCAGCTGTCCCATAATGTAACTGGAAGTTGGTGCCTTACTTGATAAGCTTAAAACGGGGATGCCCAGAATTGAAAATTGCTCCAGAGATGTTTGGCTCCGCCCGGAGAGTTGATGCTGTAACTTTTCCTTCGTTCTTCTCGACTTCAAGGACAAGATGGCTTGTGACTCCTCACGGCCAACTAGGGAAAGACTTATATGCAAGGATTAAGGCAGATGAATACCATCTTGAGTATGACTATCTTGAAGTTGCCTCTATGAGCCTTAAGAGACCTTCTCTTTTTTTTCTGCTATGAACAAAGCAAGAACCTCATCTTGCTAAATTAGAAGGATAGTAAATGCACTGTGTTGTTTAATCAAGTGCCCGGGCCTTGGTTAACTTGGTTGCTTATTTTGCACAAAGTGTGACCTTTTGCAGGAAGTCTCTCAACCTTCTCATTCCTCTATAAATCCTTATATGTATCCAAACAAAAGCTCGACTTTTGCAATGCCAGTTTTGCAATTCTAGTTTCCTTCAATAGCTGGGGAGATGGTCCAACAACCAGGCCACGTTAAGGAATTCCTTTTGCTCCAATTATATATAGTAGCCATATACTATCTGCTTCCTCTCTTTTTTAACAGAAAGGGCCGAATCAGAGCATGCTGGAGATTTGTCTAGAACAGTGTTGGCGAAACTTTTCGGCACTGAGTGCCGAAACGGGAGCATGTCAGAAACCAGAAAAGCAGCCGCCCGGTGCACATGCGCATACTGGGAAGGTGATGATCTGGTTTTTGGCGCACGCATGTGCACCCGGCCAGCTGGTCTTCGGGCACACATGCACGCCAGAAACTGGGAGACCAGGTGGCCGGTGCACATGTGTACGCTGGAAACCAGAAGAGCAGCCACCTGGCACGCGCATGCACACCGGGTAGCTGCTATTCCGTTTCTGGCACATCTGTGTGTGTGAAGACCAGCTGGCTGGTGCATTGGAACCTGGAAGAACAACTCTGCGTGCCACTTCCGGCACGCGTGCCATCACTAGAAGTTGCCTAATGCCAGTGCTGATTTGTAATAGGAAAAAGAGAGCAGGGAAATCTTTCCTTACTCTGTCCTCCTTTTAGAATGGACCCGAAGGACCGTCCAGGGAGGTTAAAAGTGCCCATCAAATACCGCATTTCTTTTCAATCTCTTCCGGCAACAGCGGACAAGGAACGGTAAACCTAAAACCCAGAATGATTTAGGACTCTTGTATTAATTCACGGCCAAAGAATGCTTCTGTTCCTACCAGCCTTGTGGGGTAGGACAGGGTTCTTGAACCCAGTGTCTTTTTTTGTCTGGAAGGCTTCCTTTCAGGTGGATTTTCTTCCAACGGAGACTTTTAGAAATGGTTAAATTATTAACGCCAGTGGTTTCTGATATTTTAGCAGACCCGAACAGTTTGTTGTGCTGTTGAGGTGCTTCTACTTGCGTGTCGGCCTTGTTAAAGGCACAAATCTGGTAAAACATTTGCTTTCTATTAAAGATACCTCCTTTCAGATGATGGCTCTTTACGGTGTTTGAAACAAACTCTGCATTTGGCAGGCTTAAAAGTCGCATTTTGTCCGTATGTTATTTCAAGAGGGGCGAAACGTTCTCCAAACTGGGTTTCCTCTGTCTTGACAAATTTTTTACTCTATTTTTAAATTGTACCTCACCTCCCTGTTTATGGGAGATTGCTTAATAAAATTTGGACCAACGTCGTCAATTTAGCCATAACCACCTGGTAACAACTAGTAGCTTACATGGTTTATGAGGGGGGAAAAAGGGGGGGGGAACTATCCATACTTGGATGAAATTCCCATGAAATCTGAAATAGCTCCTTTCTATAGTAATTAGGAAGGTTGGTTGCTTTGCTGATGGGCTTTAGAAAAGTCCAATTTGCTACTGTGAGACATACTGAAATAAAGTCATTGGTTGTTGAAAACAATATTATATAGTGTTAAACGGGTGAAATCTAAAATTTGTTACTACAAGTGCCAAAATTTAGCTCAGGGTATGGCGGATGGTGTGAAGCCAGTAGCCAAAGAATGACATACTTTGTAAGATGCTAAGGAAATATATTTCCCACAAGAGTGATTTATTATATCTGGTCAGCGAAGAGTTAAGCGTTGGAGGGTAACGTTGACTTAATACAGGAATGTCAAGGAAGCAATCATTTTTCTCTAGTCAAAAAGTACACGGTTAGCATCAGCTTTTCAGAGTTACTGTATTTTTCAGAGTATAAGACGCTCCGGACTATAAGATGCACCTACCTTTTTAGTGAGGAAAACAAGAAAAAGAAATCTGCCTCTGCCTCCCAGCAATTTTGCCTCGTTACAGCAAACAGCCTGCTTTACTTTCATTTTCAGCATAGCTTGATTAGCACAAGAAAAAAAATAATCTGCTCCCAGCAATTTACCTCCTTGCAGCAAGCAGCAGAGGCCTGCGCAGCAATAGGCAAGGGCAATCCCTGCAGCCTGAAACAGCTGAGAGTAGGGAGGCCGATCCAACGGACAATCAACTTGTGCTAATTAGGCTGTGCTGATGCTGAAATGGGCTGTTTCTTCTTGCTGCAAGGAGGTAAATTGCTGGGAGGCAGAGGCCCAAGGGTGGGGACCAGTGGGTGGGCGGGGCTACATTCGGTGTATAAGACACACTCAAATTTTCACCCTTTCACCCTTTTAGGGGGGAGGAAAGGTGCATCTTACACTCCAAAAATTATGGCAAGTTCAATATAACAGGAGTGGCTCAAGGATGACCCAACTTAAGGAGTAGCTGTAAAATTGTACCCACAAATAAAATTCATCATTCGACGAACGGCTTCTTGTTGCGACAATGGGCGTAAATAGCTTGGCTTCCAGGAAAAGCGTCCGTGAGATTTTTCAAGGCACAGAAAAAGCACAGGGCCGGCTGCAGTTCTTTGCTTGTAACCAAAAGAAAGGGCTCCATAATTTATCATACAAATTGTACGGATACAAAATAAATATATTTCTTAAAAGACGCGTACAAAAAGAGTCAGTTAAGAGGTGGTTCAGAAGAAGCACGGGCTTTCGGTGAAACACATCAGCTTTGGGCACGAATACCAAATGTTTTGGTTGCATCGGCAGCGGGAAAAGGACACGCTCACTGCGGCAAGGCGACAAGGACGTCAACGTAGCTGATGGGGAAGAAGCCCGATTCCCCTTTTAACATGCCTTCGTACCAGTTCTCGTCAATCTGATTGGTCAACGTGATGATGTCTCCTTCCTTAAAGCCAAGCTCCCCTTCGTTTTCAGGCTCAAAGTCATACAAGGCTTGGCAGCAAGGTTGGTCCATGTGCAACGAAGAACCTGGTCAAGAATGAGCAATTGAGACGTTCAAGGTTGCTTTCCGACAAAAGTTTGTCTCAATTTCATTTGCAACAAAGTCCCAAGATTATAGCAATAGACTTTCAGGTATAGAGTTGCATTTAGACTTTTATACCGCTTTACAGCCTTCTCTAAGCGGTTTACAAAGTCAGCATCTTGCCCCCAACAATCTGGGTCCTCATTTTAGCCACCTCGGAAGGATGGAAGGCTGAATCAGCCTGGTGAGATTCAAACTGCCAAATTGCAGGCAGCCAGCAGCCAGCAGAAATAGCCTGCAGTACTGCACCCTAACCACTGCGCCACCATATTATCTATCGCTAAACTGTGGGTCACTAGATCTTGAGATCAATGCCTACAAGATGTTGCTGGAAGGAGAAGAAAAATGGTAAGCTTGGAAATCTCTCAGTAAGTATACACTGTTGATTTACAACAGTTCATTTAGCAATAGCCCTTAGACTTATATACCGCTTCACAGTGCTTTTACAGCCCTCTAAGCAGTTTACAGAGTCAGCCTATGGCCCCCAACAATCTGGGTCCTCATTTTACCCACCTCGGAAGGATGGAAGGCTGAGTCAACCTTCAGCCTGGTGAGATTTGAATTGCCAAATTGCAGGCAGCCGGCAGCCGGCCGCCAGCAGCAGCGACCTGCAGTACTGCATTCTAACCACTGCGCTACCACATCTCTTGAAACCTAAACCTGGCTCTCCAATCCCAATGCAACACTTTAATCCTCATGCTACACTGTCTCCCACACTTCCTGACCAACAGGCTTCCTAATTATTAAATTAACCCTTAATCCAATAGACTAAATTCATACAAGATGCAAAACCAGAATAGCAATAGCACTTAGACTTATATACTGCTTTACAGTGCTTTTACAGCCCTCTCTAAGCGGTTTACAGAGTCAGCATATTGCCCCCAACAATCTGGGTCCTCATTTTAGCCACCTCGGAAGGATGGAAGGCTGAGTCAACCTTGAGCCTGGTGAGACTGGAACTGCTGGCAGTCAGCAGAAGTAGCCTGCAGTACCGCATTCTAACCACTGCGCCACCGTGGCCCTTATAAAGAGTAGACTGTAGAGTTAATGCAGGTAGGCCTTGACTTAACAATGGAACACTCAGCAGCTCTTTGAAGTTACAACAGACTCAAAATTATGACCCATCCTTGAAGTTATAACTGCTGCACCCACCCATCTGCTCACATGATTGCATTTGGGGGGTGCTTGGCAATTGCCTTGCACTTAAAACAGATTGCAGCATCCAGCAGCCACTTGATTATGTTTTGAGATATTTTTTGGCAAAAAATACTCATCAGATAAACTGAATGTGGACTCATGACAATGTGATTTGCTTTATGACCGCAACGGCTCCCTTAAACATAATTGTAAAAATGATTGTAATATCTAGTTTGCTCACATGGTGACTCGACTTATGATCAAAATTCTGGACTCAAATGTAGTTGAAAGTTCAGGATTACCTGTAGTTAAGCCCTAGTGCCTACTACATCTTCGAATGATTTGCTTTCTTTCTTTCTGACCAACCCTTCTCTTGCACATATTTACAGTTCTCCAGATATTTGCACTGGCTTAATTATTTCATCACCCCTTCCAAAAAATGGGGCTCCCTCGAAGATAATTGCTGGCTGAATTTGTGCATGAAGGATGAGAAGCGAAAGGTCTTCAAGGAAAACCAAAGTCCAGTGGCCTTTTGAACAACCATGACCTGGATGACCAAGAATCTCCATAGATCCCATGGTTACATACCTGATGATTTAATTGATGGACTGAAGGAAATTCCATTGTGTGGTTGACCATTGCTTATTTCCAGATGCGTCCGTGTGATTGGTTTGGGCTTAAATTCACGTTTAGGGCGACTTGAAGCTACATTTATCCTGAAAGCAGGATGGAGATGAAAAGATGAAGTTTTTCAAACAGTCAGAAATGCCTGCTCTAAGTGTGTTAAGATCACCCCATTGGGGAATTCTGCTTCCATCACTGCCACCCCAAAAGTCCTTGTAAACCCAAGAGTTCATATATATATATGAATATATATGTTTTTCTTTTAGCCAGGTTTTTCCTATGTAACCAAGATTTTTCTACAGCCCTAGCTCAGTGGAGTCACATCCACTCGATTCTGGGCTTTTTTCTTCTGGCTAAAAGAAAAACATACATAAAACCTACGAAAAGTAAGAGAAAAGAGATGAATATATATACATACATATACATATATACATCACATTGATTCATGGTTTGTTTAACCACAGTCCATGGAATAAACAATAATTGGCTTTTTTTTTTTTTAATTTTGATTTATATGCCGCCCTTCTCCAAAGACTCAGGGCGGCTTACAATGTGCTCAGCAATAACTTAACTTAACTACAGGCTTAACTACACAGTAAGCTTAACCCAAATACCCCATGTTTTGATTTAGTAGGAAGTACAAACCCACCCGCTGATAGTAATTCTGAGCTTCGCAGCTCATTGCTGATGTGACTAGGTCCATTGGGAATGAAGAGGAGAAACCATCTGTCTTCTGAGATACATAAGAGGTGCATAAAATGAAGCCCCAGATTGTTGGGGGCAACATGCTGACTCTGTAAACCACTTAAGAGAGGGCTGTAAACAACTCTGAAGCGGTATATAAGTCTAAATGCTATTGCTGTTAACAAAACTAGTTTAGTATCCTAGAGGACTAGCCCTATGATAGCAGTTCTTCAAACTTCTAAAGAGCTTCCTCAGTTTGAAATGTAACCAATCCACGATGATGCTTACCGATTTTGTAGCTTGCTCTGCAGATCCTCCAAAATTTCCGCAGACTGTTTATGGTAATCCAGTGCGGCTTCTACTAAGACTAACAGCTGGCTCACTTGCTCTATCTATAAAAAGGGAATCCCAAAAGAAAGTTTTTGTGAATGATTGTTCCAAGTAAGCTGGAGGAAACATGGACTCTAAAGGAAGAGTAAGTTCTCATTCGGTGTGGCTTATTGATGCAAAATTGTCCAGAGAAAGAATGGGAGGAACTGTTCTGTCTGGAAGGGTATCACTGAGAAAAATGAATTAGACAAAATAGTTTTCCAAGAGTTTCCACTTCACCCTTTTTTCTTGGCACACCATTTTCCACCAGTATTTCTTTTCTGCCAACTATACATTTGTTGACATACTATATTTTCTATAACTTTCTTATTATTTCTATGTATTATTTATTTAGCATATGATGAGAAGATGATAGAAGAGAAATAAACATATATATCAGGGGTGAAATGTAAAATGTGTTACTACCGGTTCTGTGGGCGTGGCTTGGTGGAGGGGGGTGTAATGTGACTGGGTGGGCGTGGCCAACTTTTTTTTTTTTTAAAAAAAAACTTTTCAAAGCATTTTTTCTAATGCTTTGAAAAGCCTCTCTGCCGATCAGGCAACTCAGCTGGGATCGTCAGAGACTTTTCAAAGCATTTTTTAAACCACCTCTTCGGCCAAGAGGTTGCAGAAAAAAATGCTTTGAAAAGCCTCTGACGATCCCAGCTGAGCCGCTTGATCATCAGAGGCTTTTTTTTTTTTTTTACTTTTAAAAGCATTTTTTCGTCGGAAGAGGTTGTAGAAAAAATGCTTTTAAAAGTAAAAAAAAAAAGCCTCTGATGATCGTGCGACTCAGCTGAGCATGGTGGGGGGCACAGGGATTTTTGCTACCAGTTCTCCAAACCACCCACCGCCATTGCTACTGGATCAGGCGATCCAGTCCGAACCGGGAGTATTTCACCCCTGATATATATATAAACAATCTACATAAGGTAAAGGTTAAAGGTTCCCCCACACATGCGTGCTAGTCATTCCCGACTCTAGGGGGCGGTGCTCATCTCCGTTTCAAAGCTTGTAAAGGCTGTAAAACACTGTAAAGTGCTATATAAGTCTAGGCTAATGCTATTACTTCCATTTTGCAGCAAAAAATTGCCATTGGGTGGGCAATGGGTTCACTTAACAACTGCTTTGTTCACTTTAATGGCCATTGCAAAAAAAATTGTAAAATCCTTTTACACATAACTCACTTAATAACGAGGTGATATACCTCGTTAGGTGATATTCTGAGCTCAAGTATAGTTATAAATCAAGAATTACATGCACTATCAAAGTTTCAAATTTTTAGAGTCACTATTATCACCAGAGGGCAGCACTTCATAAAGCAATATTAAGAAAGTAGAACTGGGCACAATTTGACTTCTTCAACAGCTCACGTGTACAGAATAAGTGAGTAGCAATAGCAGTGGCACTTAGATTTACATACTGCTTTACAATGCTCTACAGCCCTCTCTAAGCGATTTACAGAGGTCAGCTTATTGCCCCCAACAATCTGGGTCCTCATTTTACTCACCTCGGAAGGATGGAAGGCTGTGTCTACCTTGAGCTGGTCAGGATCGAACTGCCAAACTGCTGGCAGTCGGCAGAATTAGCTAATCACTGTGCCACCATGGTCCGTCCGTCCTTCCTTCCTGTTCCTTCCTTCCTTCCTTCCTTCCTTCCCTCCCTCCCTCCCTCCCTCCCTCCTTCCCACTATAGCAATAGCACTTAGACTTATATACCGCTTACAATGCTCTACAGCCCTCTCTAAGCGATTTACAGAGTCAGCTTATTTCCCCCAACAATCTGGGTCCTCATTTTCCCGACTTCGGAGGGGTGGAAGGCTGAGTCAGCCTGGTGAGATTCGAACTGCCAAAGTGCAGATGATTGTCCAAAGGGAGGAGAAGTTCCCCAATGATTTTTCAAGAGCAGGATGACTTCTGGGTGGTAACACATGAAAGTGGTTGGTAGGAAGAATTCCGTCGTAACTTTCAGTAGCCATTAATGAAAAGTGGGGGACGCAGAGGAAAAAGTTGACAGTTGGGAGGAAAAGTGAAATCTGATAAGCAGGTCACTCACAGAGACCTGTCCCCAAAGTGCTTTTTCCAAAAGGCAACTGGACTTTCTTGATTTTATTTTTCCCCTTTGAAAATGTTTTGCTTCTCATCCAAGAAGCTTCTTCAGTTCTTCTGGAACAGAACTGAAGAACTGAACAGAACTGAAGTCCAGTTGCCTTTTAGAAAAAGTATTTTGGGACAAACATGACCTACAGAATATGCGTGTGGAAAACCTACAATGCAGGTAGTCCTTGACTTAGGACGACAATTGGGATCAGAATTTCTGTTGCTAAGCAAAATGGTTGTTAAGTGAGCCACATCCTATTTTATGACCTTGTTCACAGATGGCAAGTGAATCACATGGGTGCTAAGGAGATCTCATTTCCCCCATGGGCTTTGCTTGTACAGTAGTGGCCAAAATGGTGGAAACCTTGTGGGGAAAGTGTATTTTTGAGGTTTGTTGGCTAATTTTTTTTTTTTAATTTGATTTATATGCCACCCTTCTCCGAAGACTCAGGGTGGCTTACAATGTGCTCAGCAATAGCCTTCATCCTTTTGTATATTTATACAAAGTCAGCTTATTGCCCCCACAAACTGGGTCCTCAATTTACCTACCTTAGAAAGGATGGAAGGCTGAGTCGACCTTGAGCCTGGCGAGATTCGAACCCTGCAGTAATTGCAGGCAGCTGGTCTTAATAACCAGCTTAATAACAGGGTGCCTTAAACCCCTGTAACACCACTTTTTTTTTTTTTTTTGGAGTTTCAAGATAATTCTATTCCACTGCTGGAATGGCCTGGGAATAGCCCAGACCTTAACCCAACTGAAAATCTAGGGAGCCGACTAATGAAACTTGTTAGTCAGAAGCGACTCAGCAATAAAATCCAGTTAATAGAAGCCATCATTCAATCTTGGTTTTGCATTATAACAGCTGCAGAACTCAAAGACTTGGTTCACTTCATGGGAAGAAGTTCTAAGGCCGTCATTCATGCTAAAGGTTACCCAACTAAGCATTAACTGACAGGGTGATCATTTTTGTATATCTCATTTTTTTCTTCGTGTCTCATTTTTCTTCTTTATACGGTAACTGCTATTCTAACAGCAAATCCTTCATAAAAGTTATTGCATTACATTCTTGATTAAATTATCTTTCCATTGATATATAATTTTATGGCACTACTCCAAATAAAAAGCGGTGTCATTCGCTAGTTTTAGAAAATACACTTTTCCCAAAAGGTTTCCACAATTTTGGCCACTACTGTATTTGCTGGTTGCTGAGCACCTAACAAAAATGTGTGCAAAAATCTATCGTTCCAGGAAAAATACATTTTCCACACAGCTAATGCAAAAAGAGACGATAAAGGGACCGGGGTAAGAATTTCTTGGGATCTGGAGGGAGACGGGACTTAAAAACTATTTTTAGGGATGATACTAGACGTGTTTTCCCTTTCCTACATTTTAAAATAGCAAGAAAATGCATCACCAAACTACAGGGGAGACAGATAACAGGTCCTGAGAGGTGCAGACTGCCAGCTACTCTGCTTAAAAACCTCTTTCTCAACCGCTTCCAGGAAGGGAAACCCAAATTGCAGGAAGAGGGAATTATAAGTTGCATCTCCTGTCTTGTTTGGAAAAGGGTTTGGAATAGAGTATGCGGTGCTTAGAATTTGGGCAACCTGTTTATCTTCCCAATTACTAGTTACACCACAACACATGGGCCACAAACACCCACGTAGACTGTATGTCTTGCGCTCAAGTTGCAAAAGGGAGGGGCTTACACAGGGATGAAATCCAGCAGGTTCTGACAGGTTCTGGAGAACTGGTAGTGGAAATTTTGAGCAGTTCGGAGAACCGGTAGCGGAAATTTTGAGTAGTTCGGAGAACCGGTAGCAGAAATTTTGAGTAGTTCGGAGAACCGGTAGCAGAAATTTTGAATAGTTTGGAGAACCGGTAGCGGAAATTTTGAATAGTTTGGAGAACCGGTAGCGGAAATTTTGAATAGCTTGGAGAACCGGTAGCGGAAATTTTGAGTAGTTTGGAGAACCGGTAGCGGAAATTTTGAATAGTTTGGAGAACCGGTAGCGGAAATTTTGAGTAGTTCAGAGAAAAGGTAGTGGAAATTTTGAGTAGTTCGGAGAACCGGCAAATACCACCTCTGGCTGGTCCCAGAGTGGGGTGGGAATGGAGATTTTGCAGTATCCTTCCCCTGGAGTGAGATAGGAATAGGGATTTTGCAGTATCCTTCCCCTGCCACGCCCACCAAGCCACCCCCACAGAACTGGTAGTAAAAAAAGTTTGGATTTCACCACTGAGCTTACATCATTTTCCAATAAATTGAACATGCTCCGTTCTGCCAACTCTTTCGACTCTTCAAACTTCTCAATGGCTTGCTTCACTTCCTCGTCTGGAACCTTCCCTAGGCGCTTCCGTTTGTAATCATAATCTAGACGCCGGCCTTCTAATTTTTTTAGGTGGTGCTATTTTGTTTTAAAAAAAGGAAAGAAGAGAACCAAGTGGTTAGAGCGAATGAGAAGAAGTCCTTGTGTATAGGGGCAGAAATACGTTTTTTGGATTTTTTTAGCCATGGGGAGTGGCTAAAAAACTTTGTAATAAAATAACAGTGTCTTTGAAGGCTTCGGCAATAAATTCTTAGATTCTACATAGTTCGTTCATTGTGAAAAAATCTTCAGGGCATCTACATAAGCAAAATATTATTTGTCAAAATATAGTTTACTTTTATGTTCTTGTGTTTTTTGTTGTGGGGCAAATAGGAGGAGAAAGATATGCTGGATACATTCACCGCCTTGAGTTACTTGTAGAAATAATAAAGGCAGGATAGATAGAAATAAATAAAGCATAAGAAATTATCTTGGCATGGCCTCATTAAGCCAGAGGAAAAAAAACCCTTTGTTTGGGAACTGCACCTCCCGTGAAGATGGTAATTGCATTTTGTTAACCTGAGTTTAAGATATTACGCAAATCCAGGCATTAGGAAGTGAAAAAGAGAGCCCGAGAGATTCCAGAAACGCTAATATTATTCCAAGGATGCATCTTCACATCCCTAGGCAAATATTTGAGGCAGAGATAAACTCACTCCAATCTCTTTTAAATCCTTTTCCTGCAGTAGCTGGAGAGGATCAATAAAATTCTGCTTGATGTTGATATCCAGGGAATCCTTCACTTCTGCCATCTGCTTCATACTTTCTCCCACATCGATCAGCGCAGCACCTTGTAAAGAAGAAACAACATTCGTGTATCTCATGGGGAGGAATTCAGTTGTTGCTGTTGTTTTAAAAAACGAAAAAGATTCAGCAGCTTCCAAACCGAAATTTAAAAGGCTTATTTTCAGCCACTTTTTCTTTGAAACGTGTAAAGCTTCTACCTTTCTTATTTTCCAGACCATTTCTCTGGTCACATAACTTTATATATATATATTTTCTTTTCTTTTTCCATCTAATTATTACTTATTTTCAATTTATATAGAATGAAACTCAAATGCTTTGGCCACCTAATGAGGACTCTCACTGGAGAAGAGCCTAATGCTGGGAATGATTGAGGGCAAAAGAAGAAGGGGACGGCAGAGAACGAGGTGGCTGGATGGAGTCACTGAAGCAGTCGGCGTGAGCTTAAATGGACTCCGGGAGATGGTAGAGGAGAGGAAGGCCTGGAGGAACGTTGTCCATGGGGTTGCGAAGGGTAGAACACGACTTCATAACTAACAACAACAATCTCTATAATGTTCTCTGCTCAGGCAGGGACCCGCCCTTTCCTTAAAAATCCAGATTTATTAAGTACCGCTTGCATGAACTACATAAACAATGCTGCGCAGCTGCGGAAGCTCACCAAAGGTGGAGTCATCTCTCAGTTCCCTCCCATACCGGAGCATACAGTCCCCAAGTAATCCTTCGGTCTGTGGGTATCCTGTGGCCTTCACTTGCCCTCGGATCTTGGAGACAGTGTTCAGCATTCCTAGCTTAGCTCTGTAGGCTTTAAAAGAGAGAGATTAATACTGAAAAGCTTAAAGAGATATGCTGGGATTTCTATATTGTCTGGAGAACATTTCTGCTCGTTGACTTCACGTCTCCAGGCTCGGAATGTTATTCTACGTATGCAATCGCTATAGAAGCAAGTTGTCACGAGCTTCATTTAGACCCATGACGGATAACAAACAGGGATTAATGCAGGGGTGAAATGCTCCCGGTTCAGACCGGATCGCCCAATCCGGTAGCAATGGTGACGGGTGGTTCGGAGAGACCGGTAGCAAAAATCCCTGCACCCCAACATGCCCAGCTGAGCCGTGCGATCATCAGAGGCTTTTTTTTTTTTTTTACTTTTAAAAGCATTTTTTTCTTCGGCCGAAAAAATGCTTTTAAAAGTAAAAAAAAAAAATGCCTCTGACGATCGCTCGGCTCAGCTGGGATCGTCAGAGCCTTTTCAAAGCATTTTTTCTACAACTTCTTTGGCCGAAGAGGTTGTAAAAAAAATACTTTGAAAAGGCTCTGACGATCCCAGCTGAGTTGCCTGATCGTCAGTGGCTTTTTTTTTTACTTTTAAAAGCAAGAAAAAAAATGCTTTGAAAAGGCTCTGACGATCCAGCTGAGTTGCCTGATCGTCAGAGGCTTTTTTTTTTACTTTTAAAAGCAAAAAAAAAAGCTTTTAAAAGAAAATAAAAGCCTCCGACGATCAGGCAACTCAGCTGGGATCATCAGAGCCTTTTCAAAGCATTTTTTCTACAACCTTTTCGTCTGAAGAACCGGTAGTAACAAATTTTACATTTCACCACTGGATTAATGGCATCCACTGGAGAGGAAGTCCTCGATTTATGACCACAACCAAGCCCCAACATTTCTGTTGTTAAGTGAGAGGTTGGTTTGCTCTATTTTACGATCGTTCTTGCCTCAGTTGTTTATCACTGCAGTTGATAAGTTGGCAAATTGGTTTTTAAGCGAATCTGGTCCCCCCGGTTTGATTTTGCTTGCTAGAGTCTTGTGGGAACCTGGCTGGGAAGACTGCAAATGATGATCACATGACTTGGGATACCACAACCGTCACAAAAATACGTGCCACTTATCAAGTGCCTGTATTTTGACCGTGTAACCATAGGGATGCTGCAACTGTCATAAGTGTAAGGACTGATTGTAAGTCACTTTTTTTTTTCAGTGTTGTTGTAACTTTGATGGCCACTAAACAAATGATTGTAAACTGAGGACCACCTATAAACAGTAAAAATAAGTAAAATACGTAAAAATATAGACAATAAAATTGTTGCAACATAAAAACATCCGTAGAAGCTGGAATGCACAGATCTGACGGATTGGTCACAGAGATGCTCGGTTGTTTGAAACATCTGGAACTCACTAAAACTATCTTGTTCTTACCTGGGTTAGGTTGGAGATATTCTGTAGCTTTGGATAAAAGTTCTGCCACTGCCTTGCTAGTGATATCAATTTTCTGCAAGAGGAAAATGAAATATCTTTAGATGGGCTGTGCAAATCATTTTCAATTTGAGCCACTTTTTACTCCACGCCTCCAATTTTGATTCCTAAATTGGAAACAGGCAGATTTGATCATTTTGGAAGTGTTTTGAACTTGAAACATTTCTAAGGTTAAGGGGCCCTTGGTGCTCTCTGAGCTTGCTTGTTTTCTTGCATTACCCTAACTACGTAACAAGAAAGAAAGAAAGAAAGAAAGAAAGAAAGAAAGAAAGAAAGAAAGAAAGAAAGAAAGAGAGAGAGAGAGAGAGAGAGAGAGAGAGAGAGAGAGAGAGAGAGAAAGCTCAGAGAGCACCAAGGATCCTTCCTTTCAACCCTGAGCTACAAATCTTCTCCTTTATTGATTTTGTAGGCTGTTGAAACAAGCCCTGTTGGACATGAGTCAGGATGCTGGATTCAAAAATAATTCAATTTTGAACCATTGCTAATCTTTAACAATATATGACAGGGACTGTTTCTTTTGTACATCACACACAAATTTGTGCCAACCTAGTCTCCTCTAGACCTTTACCAAAAGGTAAAGGTTCCCCTCGCACATATGTGTTAGTCGTTCCCGACTCTAGGGGGCGGTGCTCATCTCCGTTTCAAAGCCGAAGATCCAGCGCTGTCCGAAGACGTCTCCGTAGTCATGTGGCCGGCATGACTCAACGCCAAAGGCGCACGGAACGCTGTTACCTTCCCACCACAGGTGGTCCCTATTTTTCTACTTGCATTTTTTATGTGCTTTCGAACTGCTAGGTTGGCAGAAGCTGGGACAAGTCACGGGAGCTCACCCTGTTACGCGGCACTAGGGATTCGAACCGCTGAACTGCCGACCCTTTGATTGACAAGCTCAGTGTCTTAGCCATAGAGCCACCGCGTCCCTTAGACCTTTACCTAAGTATGGGCCTATTTTAGAAAAAGGATGAAAAGGCCTCTTGAGTTATAATTAGAAATAATTACCTTGCAATTAGCAGCCAGTATCAAGAGGCTTGCCTTACCTTCTCCATCTCTTGAAAGTCTTCATCAAGTTTTGTTCCTTCTGCTCCACTGATCTTCTCGCTGAAAAGCTGCAGGAGGAAAAGAATAACGATAAGCAAACGGTACAGCACCAAACCAAAGTCTATGGAGATCCTCAGTCCTCCAGGACATGGTTGTCCCAAAGGTGCTTTTTCCAACAGGCAACTGGACTTCCTGGTTTTTTCTTTGAAGACGTTTCGCTTCTCATCCAAGAAGCTTCATCAGGTTCTGATGGCGGGGGAATGGAAGGAGAGGTACTGCCAGTCTATGGAGATTCTCAGTCATCCAGGCCATGGTTGTCCCAAGTTGTCAAGAGGCAACTTGGACTTCCTGGTTTTTTCTTTGAAGGCATTTCGCTTCTCATCCAAGAAGCTTCTTCAGCTCTGGAAGCATCTTGGATGAGAAGCGAAATGTCTTCAAAGAAAAGAAAAAAAACCCAGAAAGTCCAGTTGCCTCTTGAAAAAGAACCTTTGGGATGATCCCAAGTAGCAAGAGCAAGAGCACTTAAGACTTATATACCGCTTCACAGGGCTTTACAGCCCTCTCTAAGCGGTTTATAGAGTCAGCCTATGGCCCCCCCAACAACCTGGCTCCTCATTTGACCCATCTTGGAAGGATGGAAGGCTGAGTCAACCTTTGAGCCTGGTGAGATTCGATCTGCCAAATTGCAGGCAGCCGGCAGTCAGCAGAAGCAGCCTGCAATACTGCATTCTAACCACTGTGCTACCACAACTCATAGTTAGTTAGTGTGTGTGTGTGTGTGTGTGTGTGTGTGTGTGTGTGTGTGTGTTTGTGTGCATCTCCTCCATACATTTGGTGAAAATGTGTTTGGCTATTGCCCTGTTCAGTGTATCAGCGTATCATGCATGCATGCTCTTTGTATCACAAAGGTTATTGCTTTGTCTGTAAAGGGAATTCCCATTTCGGATGCGGTACGAGACTTATCTCCCCTCCCCAGCTTATCTTTCTGGCCTGTCCCCTCCTTTTTTATCATTTCTGGGCCTCTACTTTACCAACTCCACCTCCCAACCACACCAGGTTGTAGCAGATGTTTGCTCAGGTCATAGATCTTCAAGAGCTTCTGGCCCTCCGTCCCACCAATATCACACACCCCTCCTTTACATGTCTTCTGCTCACAACTCAACTGGCACAGCGGTTAACTACGGGCAGTTACAATGAATGCACAACAACATGCGTTGACTACCAAAGGGATTACATTTGTGCAAGCCAGACAGAAGAACAGCACTCCATTCCCTGTTCTTGAGACCACTATTATATCAGAGAGAGAAATGGTTTGAATGCCATGCTAAACCATGATTTGTTTCAACCGAATTTAATAAACTGGTTGGGATTACACTACAAACTAAACTCCATGTAGCCTCCCAGCTTTTATAAGGTGGCCCTGCCAAAATTCAACCCTAAACCGATTTTCCTTTTCATTCAAACTTAAAAGACTTCTTGTTCCCATTCCTTTCCTTAAATCTGCCAAACCCTGAAAGCTGACATTTTTTTTTTAAAAAAAAATGATTTTGGTTTCACATATATGTGTGTTTTTTCAAGGGTTTGAGGATGAGGAAAAAGAGGATGAGGCCTTTAAAAAGGTAAAGGTCCCCCTCACACAAATGTGCTAGTCGTTCCTGACTCTAGGGGGTGGTGCTCATCTCATCCTTCCTTCCTTCCCACCCTTGATTTAGCAATAGAAGTAGCACTTAAGACTTATTTACCGCTTCATAGTGTTTTACAGCCCTCTCTAAGCAGTTTACACAGTCAGCATATTGCACCCCAACAATCTGGGTCTTCGTTTTACCAACCTCAGAAAGATGGAAGGCCGAGTAAACCTTGAGCCGGTCAGAATCGAACTGCTGATAGTCGTCAGAAATAGCCTGCAATGCTGCATTCCAACCACTGTACCATCATGCCTCTTTACCCACTCCTTGCCCAGAATGAGCCTGCTTGAGGATTGATACACTATCCAACTCAATGCGGTTGTGTTGATGACCCCAAATGCAACAGAAAGACTTCTCTACCGTATACACCCTCTTCCTTGTGAGGCCAAAAATAATCTAGGGATGCCCCATGGTCCATACTAAGATGGCTATTTGGAGTGTGTACTGCCAGCAGTGACAGTGCGAAAGGCCAGATCCATTTATATAGAAGCATTCGCAGTGGCTATCTGCACTTAATGCACTCCGTAATTTGGTAAACAGAATTCTTAGAACTGTCGTTTCCTCAATGCTGCCTCTCAAGCAGAGGTTAATGGGGGCCATTAATCTTGTTATGTTAAGTCAAGTCAACAATCACAAGCCCCAGGGAGCAGTTTACATCAAAGTTACCAGGTAACAGTCTTCTGTAAGCACATTCTCACAGATACAACAATAGCCTGGTTTTAAAGTGACATAATACTTGTGATGACAACCAGAAAGCCAACCTGGCGATTTTGGCCTCTGGAGACATGCCCTTTGTCCAAATTAATGGAGCATGCCAGTCATGTTGTCTGCGTTCTATTCACTGTTTATTCCATTGTGTTCTCTATCTAATTATTGCGATGTATTCTGTTATCTAATTTTTGGAAACAGCCACTTTGGGGTTGTGGTTCAGAAACCTGGAGACTATGAGCTGGCACGAAGTCAACTTTTTTTTTATTTTTATTTTTTTTTATTTTTTAATTTATATACCGCCCTTCTCCCTAAGGACTCAGGGCGGTGTACAGCCAGAATTAAAAAACATAAAATACAAATATTAAAAAACAATTAAAATATATATAAATTTGGCCCAAAATTAAAAATACAAACCAATTAAAACATTTAAAATTTCTTCTTAAGTCTTAACTGAATGATTTTTGAGCCTGCCACTCTTTCTTAGCCCTAGGAAGGAGGAAGGAATGGCAAACCACTTACAAAATCTTGCCAAAAAGCTACAGGAAGTAATCCAGGCAGAATCAAACAGTGGTGGGATTCAAAAATTTTTTACTACCAGTTCTATGGGCGTGGCTTGGTGGGCGTGGCTTGGTGGACATGGCAGGGGAAGGATACTGTAAAATCTCCATTCCCACCCCACTCCAGGGGAAGGTTATTGCAAAATCCCCATTTCCTCCCGATCAGCTGGGACTCGAGAGGCAGAGAATAGATGGGGATGGGGCCAGCCAGAGGTGGTATTTACCGGTTCTCTGAAATACTCAAAATTTCTGGTGGGACTGGAAGTTGGCAAATGGGCCATTTATGGCCTCTAGAGGGCTTCTGGGTGGGGTTGGGAAGGCTGTTTTCACCCTCCCCAGACTCCTAGAGAGGCTCTGGAGACAGATGAGAGAGAAAAACAGGCCTACTGGGCCGTCACATGCCAGGAGCGGAGGGAGTGGGGGGGGTGTCACGTGCACATACGCAGGGCACATAGAATTAAGGGCGGGGTCACATGTGCACACGACCCCCCCACTCCCCTCCGGGCATGTGATGGCAAAAAGGTTAGCCATGACTGGACTAGAGTGTTACAAAGAAAATCAATCCATGTGGTTGCTAGGAGTTGAAAACAACTTAATGACCCATCAATCAATCAATCAATCAACCAATCAATGTTACATAAGGCCATAATGACCAAAATGCAAGTGCTTGAATATTAGCCAATGGGACAATGACTATCTTGAGCCCAAATATTATAGGCAACTGAGTCTTGTAACTTCGTACTTGCCAATTTTATGCCTGTCCCACTGAGCTTCTGGAGCATGTAGCCAAGCTGTACAGCAAAAGACTTTTCCTTTTTTAAAAGAGCTTTTGTTGTGCTTGGGCAAATATTACTTCCTTGCTAAAAGAAAGGGGGGAAAAAACATTTCAGAGAGAGACCTGGGAGAAAATGCGGTCATAATCTTGAAGCTCATAGCAACTCTACCCACACAATACCATTGCCCATACTTCTGGCCACCTGATCCACAATGTTAGTCCTTCAATGTTTGATTGCGTTTTTTGGGGGAGGATCTGTTCTTTGCAAACTTGCGAAGTAAATTTGGAGGAGGGAGGAGGAGGAGGAGGAGGAGGAGGAGGAGGAGGAGGAGGAAGAGAAGAAGAAGAAGAAGAAGAAGAAGAAGAAGAAGAAGAAGAAGAAGGAAGAAGAAGAAGAAGAAGAAGAAGAAGAAGAAGAAGAAGAAGAAGAAGAAGAAGAAGAAGAAGAAAGAAAGAAAGAAAGAAAGAAAGAAAGAAGAAAGAAAGAAAGAAAGAAAGAAAGAAAGAAAGAAAGAAAGAAAGAAGTCTGTGCAATTCTCCAGCCCCTATAACAATGACATGGTGGGAAAATATTTTAACAAAAGTACCACAAGGTTGCAACAACATGAGGCTGTTGTTTGCTACAAGAGAGAAGCAACATAAAGCAACTCTCCCTGGACACAATGTAAGATTCACAGCAAACTTTTGTGGTGGCAACAAGAGAGCAACAATATAGCTTTTCAAAGGCTTTCTTTTCCTTTTTATTTCCCTACTTCCCAAATCAAAAGCCAATTTTATTTTATTTTGGCTTCTGTTTGGGCCCAGGTATGACCTCACCACTTTCCTTTTTCTGATCTTGAACCGGAGACAAAAGACAAATATAAAATTCAAGATTCCTAGTTTGGCCAACTCCCACCACTGTCACATAAATAAAACACCTTCTTACAAGTAGCTTCTAAAAAAAGCTGGCTGATGTTTTACTCTGTTTTCAGCTTGGGCAACCAGGAAAAGGAATTTTGCACAAAAGGGAGGCAAAACAAAATGTATCTTCAAAACCAAAGTAGATTTGAGAAGATGGGTTGCGATCTGTAGATTTTAACTCAGGTTTGTTAATTTCAAGATGACAGACTAAATGTAAACGAACACAAGTTTTGGGTGCACTGGGCTCTAAAGAAAACACGTATGAATTAATATTTGTGCGATGCAGTGGGAACATGCATGGAAAAACAGCTTTTGAGGTTGCAATATTGGAGAGAAAGGCTACTGCAAAAGCTGAGGAGTTTCTCCATCAAACAGAAGCCCCATTCTAGACCAGCATCTGTCAACCTTGGAAACTTTAGGTGGATTTCAACTTCCAGAAA